TTTTATTAATATTTGAGAAATTGTATTTGAATATTACCAGTGTGAACTCAATTGATTTCAATGGATTTAATTAAATTCTTTTGAACACGACTGCTCAAAGTGGTGGCTCGAAGCCTACACATTCAAAACCTCATTACTCTGACATTTTTAATGTAAATGTTAAGTGTAAGTGAAAAGTTAAGTACTGTAACAGGTCTTTCATGATACTACATATGCTGGGGTGTGAATTTGATAGGTGCTTGAAATTAAATAAATAGTGCTTTAAAAAGTACTTGAAAGTCCTTGAATCTGGTGTTCATGAAAGAGTGGGAACCTTTTGTATGGTTTGCGATAATATCGTAATTGTTTTAACGATGTGCGATTTGATATTATCGAGTATATCGCGAAAAGCAAACAAAACACACCTACAGAGTGCACGCATACATTACGTGAAGAAGTCTTAGTAGTTTAGACTAGTGCGCGTTCTTTCACGGCAAGAATCAGTCTATTCAAATGCATTTAGAATGATCACATAATTCAAGATATGGGGCAGAAAATGTATATATTTATATAATTTCATATAGTTAATTCTGTTGTTTTAATTAGAAATTTTAAAAAGCTTATAAATGTATATATTTTTTAATTTGACATAAAAGATGACATACTTTTAATAAAGTTAGAAAAATGCCATTACAAAGGTGTAAAAACTAAATTCCCTGTAAATCACTTTAAGGAGTCAAATATCATCTCGTAATGGGAAGGCTAATATTTGATCAGAATTTTTGATTATTGATTAGAAGGTGCTCCTGAAATTTTTGACTCTGCTCCTGAATTTTTTTTTTAATTTTAAAAGAATACGCGCAGAGCCCTGTTTAACCACTTTTTATTCATTTAAAAATTGAGAAATTCTCTCAAATGTAAATCTTTTACAAGAATTACAGCAAAAAACAGTTTGATGCAAGAATATATATGTGACTTCTCAAAGTCAGCATGATTACAAATGTGTTATTTATTTTATACAACAGTTCAATAAACAAGAAGTTAATATGACTTACGTTTTAGACACCATATTAACCTGTTTTTGCTCTATTTCTCCAACAAAAATCATTCCGAACACAGCCACAGCGCTGTTTTGCGTCTCTGAGTAACAGGACGGTGTTTTGTTCCAGAAATAATCAACCAATTTAAATGATTCGGTTCAATCGCAGTGAACCACTTACTAACAGTGACTTGCTGCCATCTACTGGCGGTTTTAATTTCACATTTAAGGTACCTTTTCATTTTTTAAATAGTTTAAAACATCAGTTTTCAATGTTTTATGTTTAAAATATCAAAACATTATTTATGCATTTGTAACTGCAGGTTAAAGTATTCCATGTCCCTCAGAGCTGCATTAAACAGTGTGTAAATGCATCTAAATGCCACTTCTAATGCAGCTAAAGATTTAAGATAAATTTTGTTGATACTGATTTCATTTGCTTGCCCAAATGCAAGAATTTCACTCAAAAGATGGTACATACTTTTAGAAAAAAATGGCTTAAAGGTAAAAATGCCCATAAAACTTGATGGAAATAATTAATTTCTATCACTGCTGTGAACTGACCACAGTATATGAAGAATATCAAAAACTTTAGGAGTCAGCTGTCCATTGTAGTCCTTAAGATATCAGCACAGTAACACACTCAGCAAAATATTGTGTAATTATCGTTATTGATAAAATCCCAGAAAATTATTGAGATATCATTTTTTGTTAATATCGCACACCCCTAATTTATGTTGTTTAATTGATATAATAATTTAATGATAATAATAGTTTAAATTAATATAATAATTAATACTTTTGACTCATCCATTTTCTTTAAAGGGGTTCAAAGGCTGAAATGTAAAGTTTATCATTTTACAAAACCTTTTGTTTTTGTAAAAACATGTATCTGAACTGTAAATTATGCTTTTTACAGTAATTTTACAGTTTATGCACCATTGTTTTTGTCAAAAACTAAGGCTAAATCCAAAAACTAAATTATCTCTGGAACTGCCTTGAAAATGTAACACAGTACTGTATGTCCAGATATAGTAACAGTAGATAATAAATACCTGATGGGTGTGCTTTTGGCAGCCAGTAAGAAAGCAATCACACGTAAATGGTTAAAACAAGAGCGACCAACTTTAGATAATTGGATAGATGTGACCATAGAGATTTATGATGGAAAAGATCACTTGTTTTTATTAATTTAAAGAAGTATGTGTTTCTGGGAAAATGGAGGCAATGGATTGATTATGTATCAGAAAGAAGGTCTGATTTTGCTGCTATAAAAAAGTAGGAGATGATTAATGTATAGATGGATATATGTATATAATTTATGCTTGTGTGTGTGTGTGTGTGTACTAGGGATGGAACAATTACTGGTTTCACGATAAATCACGATAAAATGCCCTGACGGTTAGTATTATCGTTTAAAATTGAATTATCATCAAAACCGTATTTGAATTAATATTTGAGAAATTGTATTTGAATATTACCAGTGTGAACTCAATTGATTTCAATGGATTTAATTAAATTCTTTTGAACACGACTGCTCAAAGTGGTGGCTCGAAGCCTACACATTCAAAACCTCATTACTCTGACATTTTTAATGTAAATGTTAAGTGTAAGTGAAATGTTAAGTACTGTAAGAGGTCTTTCATGATCAGTTCTTTTTGAACATGTTCATCTAATTTTAACAAAACCGTGATAATATTGATAATCGTGATAACTTTGGTCACTATAACCGTGATATTAAATTTTCATACCGTTACATCCCTAGTGTGTACATATACGTGCTCTGTTTAATATCTACATACATAATGAAAGTAATTTGAGGTAATTCTGGATGGAACTGAATTAGGACACGTTCTAACCCTGGATGTATATAGTTACTTTTTGTGCGTGTGTGTTTTTTTTTTTTTAACTTGTTACTTTATAAAAAAATTTGTACTTTGATACAATTTAACGAATTTTGAGTATAATTTATATTTGAAACACATTAGGTAATTGTCCATGTCTATATATTGTAAAGACATTGCATTGAGCATTATATGTAACTTGAAATATGCTATATGATTGTACTCAAATGAATGTACAGAATAAACATAAAATGGAGAAAAAAAAAAAAAGAAAATGTAACACAGTGACTTAAAAACCTGGTGTTCCCCTAACTGAAAAAGAATTCTGTAGAACAGTTTAAATACAGTTTGAATTTGGAAAATATTTAAGTGAAAAAAAATATATATATATTTTTTAAGCCCTGTTGACAATCCTAGCCTCTGTACTCTGTTTATTGATTGTGTGTGCAGGTATTTGTTCCAGGAGGTTCTCAGTTATTGCAGCTGCAGCAAGACTTGATATCTCGATGCTCTAATCTGCTGTGCACGTATCACCTGCTCAAACAGATGAGCCTGACACTGTCCTCATCCGTTCCACTTGACATACTGTGAGTCCAGACACCCAATCCAAAAAAAAAAATATTATATTTAAGCCATGATTCCTATTGCAAATGTGTGTATATGGTAGGGTTGTAATGGTGGCAAAGTTAAAGTCCTTGAACTTAGAAATCAATAGAAGTTTCAGAACTAAGTCAAGTTTAATTACATTCCTCACAAAGATAAATGCTTTATTTATCATATACATATGAGGTTATGAGGCTATGCGTTTTGAGAGGGCTGTGGGAAACGAGCAGGCCAGAGCTATGTTTCACGTTTTCTCCCAATTATCCAAAGCAATTGACACTTTGTAAATAGTCAAAAAAGTTAATTGTTTCTTACGCAGGAGCAAGACATATATAATGGATGTTATGTTGCTGGGGAAAGTGAAACTGGTGATTACCTATGAAATGCTTTATACTATGAAGCCCCGTACATCACATGGAAAAAGTAGATATTAAGAATTCACCCCCACAACTTAATTCGTGGCCATGTTTAATTAATTTGTTCCCTCCACATTAATTTGCCTCCCTTTTAGACTTTGTACTTGTTTTATTTGCACATGTGGTCCGAAATACATTTTACAGTTTGCACACCTGTTTTTTTGTGAAATGCTCACACTGTCGAGCCCTGTTTTGGGAAATAAAAAGGTATCTGGTCTATAGCATTTTTTTTTTTAAACCATAGTAAAGAATGCAAAAATAGTGCATAAAAATGAAGGAAAGGGGAAAAAATTAACTTTTATAACCCTCTGTGAAAATAGAAGGTAAGATGTGAGGATTTGGGAAAAGAAACAAAAGATTCCATATCCAGTGGAATAACTCATGCTATATTGTTTCATTCATTGAAATTTGACTGACCAGCCAACAAAACGGAACGCAATGCCACATATGGCTTAATTCAAATTTATGTGCTCAAATACCTCTCTTATTTGGCATGAATCCAAATGTTTCCATGGTCGCGATATAATGTTTGGCTGTTAACCAATTATTTATTTTGTAAGCAAAGCATTCTACTTCATTTGTGTCCTAATATCCATGTAAAAAAAAATCATGTGCAAAAATGTGTTCTGCCGTTCCACCACAGTGGGTGGTTGTCACACTGACCAGCACAGCCCTAGTATACGGCTGCCTAATTGACCTATGGCCTTCACCAGAAATATCAAGAAGATATTGAGCCTGGTTCTTAGACATGTGATGAGTTACATACAGTGGCAAAAAAAAGTATGTGAAATTGTTTGGTTTTCTGTATTAATTTGTCATAAAATGTTATCTAAGCTTTATCAAAGTCACAAGTATAAACAAACCCAATGTGATTAAGCTTAATCTGTTATACATTCCATTAAACATTCACAGTGCTGTGGAAGAGGTAAGTAAACTTTACCATGTTGTCATCACCTCGATGATCCACAACTTTTTTTTTTGTGATGAGTTTCATGAGATGTTCATGAGTCCACTGATTCACTGATGCTCAAGAAGGAAACACAATGCATTAAGAGCCAGGTATATAAATGTATATAAAACAACACCCCTGTATATAAAAAAAACTTGTATATAAAAAGATATGGTGGGTGTTGAAGTCCTGCTGCTTCAACACCCACCATATCCACTAATTGTTCAATTTGTTTGGGCTCAGCTTTTGCTTAGCTAGTGTTGCTTTCTCCCACTAAAACTACAAAAATAAGACAGAAATGTGAGCTACCATAAATAACACAGGGATTGGTTAAATTAGCATTAATTCTTACAGTTGCTGGATTGCAAATCTTAGTGTAAAAACCAGTTTGATTTTTATCTATTAAGAGAGATATAAACAGTTCTAAACAAATAAAACAACTTTGGTGTTTATGGAAACTACCTTAATGACATTGGCATATCAGTATGTTTTTTTTTTATTTGTTTTGGGAGAGGAGAACTTATACCTTTTTTCAAAATCCAATTAAAGGGAGTCATAAGCTGCAGGGATGGTTCATCAAACATTTTATACTGCCCTAATAGAAATCCTTCACTACCCTGGTGCCTTATTTGTTTATAATAATATTTTATTGTATTTTTTAGAAGAGATACTACATAGACTTGCAATTTCTTTTGGTTTATCTTTGAGTTATAAAATTGTTACTGTGTTTACTTATTTCATGTGTTATCTATCTCTGTTTAGAAATGCTGATCTTCAGCATCTGTCTGTTTTGGAGCTGTCCGACTCCACAACTCCTACATCTAGAAGATCAGGTAAAATGAATGAATTGCTTCAGTATAGACAGTGTATGACGGATGATGAGAACGCTGATTGAACACGCTGTGTTTCTTTTTTTATTTTAGTGTTGAATCCTCAAACTGTGGTGGAGTTGTTCTACCAGAATGTGGCCCGTAAAGCCATCATGTCTCAGATCTTCTCCCAGCAGGATGTGGAGGGCAATCAGACCATGTTGCACTGGTCACAAATGATCTCCAGTGTCCTGACACTACTCTGCCAGTTTCTGTATCCTCTTGATGTGTAGTATGCTGGACACCAGTGTTGTCATGATAGCAAAGTTTCAGTAGTCGGTACCAATATTAATTGAATTTAATGATTCTCTATATGAATTTCGGTACCAAAAGTACAAAACTTTGGTACTTGATCTATACTTGAATTAAAAAAAAATTTAATAATTAAAATGTAAAACAATTATATCGTAAATGTCAAGTAATTTTGAACTAAACACATATATAGCCTCAACATATTAGTAAAACGTCAGAGATACAGAGAGCAAAGAAACACAGTACAACATAAAGATTTGTTCATAGTCCCTTTAGACATAATTGACTGTGTAAATATTTGTCATACAAGTATTTTGGATTATACAAGCAGAGACGCACACAGCCCCGGGTGCCTGTTAGAGCACACAGACTTTCATCTGCACTTGAGCATTTTAAAGCAGTCGCCTGTCAATCAGCTCATTTCATGTATTAAATATCGGTTCTCATTTTAGTATCAACTTGGTGCCTAAGTACTGCTACTTTTGACGTCAAGTCACCTTTATTTATATAGCGCTTTTAACAATTCAGATTGTGTCAAAGCAACTATACAGCATTAATTAGGAAAATAGTGTGTCATTAATGCAAAATGACAATAGTAAACACCCAATTTTCAGTTAAAGGCAGTTCATCATTGAATTCAGTGATGTCATCATCCAGCTCAGTTCAGTTTAAATAGTATCTGTGCAATCAAGTCGATGATATCGCTGGAAATTAAGTGTCTAAGCAAGCCAGAGGAACCAAAACTCCAACGGTGACAGAATGGAGAAAAAACCTTGGTAGAAACCAGGCTCAGTCAGGGGGCCAGTTCTCCTCTGGCCAGACAAAACCAGCAGTTCAATTCTAGGCTGCAGCAATGTCACATTGTGCAGAGGACTCTACTGGTTCCTGTGGTCTTGTCCTGGTGGCCGTCTAGGAGACAGCATCATATGACCCCTTTAAAAGCAACTTTCCCCAACACTGGATATGATACCTCTTCATTCACTGCTACGAATTGATGGCGGTCAGATAAGTACGATTTGAACCATGCTAATGCACTTCCATTAATGCCAACAAAGTTTTCTAGTCTTTTCAAAAGAAACATTACTACTAGACATTTGATATTTTCAGCCAGTTCTTGATTGTAAAGCATCTGGGTGAGGTGTAATTCATGAGTTCAGTATTTCCCTTACATCATTTCACTAGCTGGCCCAGCAATCCCAGTTTCCTCTTTCCTGAATGCCTGATGTTAAACTGCCAGTATACACAACTGCAGGTGAGACACCAGTTATCACTTGTCTATTTTCCCAGAAATATGATTTGCCGGATTGTATATGGTCCTCATAAAAATACAACAGCAAAGGAACTATAATTACGGTCTTCAGATCAGTGAATGTGTGTGTTCCTCGCACCAGTTAATATTTAGTTTTTGCTTTTAGCTTTTTTTATTTTTGATTTAGTGATTTTAATTCCTGTTTTTAAGTAGTAATCATCAGTCAATAGTTTTTTGACAATGTTTTTGTTTTAACCCTTGTTTGCACAGTGTATAGCCTACATATATTCATCATAGCCTCATATTGCACATTGCTTTGCTGCGTGTTCCCGGAGGCGGGGTTTATGTAAAATTCTGGGTTCTTGACGTAACGGACCTGGGAAGTAACTCGTTGTAGTCCCTTACCAGTCATTTTTGTAGGCATTAAACTGCCGGAATTTTAAAAGACGATATCTCCTAATTGTAATTGCGATTAGAAATTAGATTAATTGTGCAGCCCTAGGTTCCAGTTTTGCTTAACGATTCCTGGTTCCGATTCCGGTTCCATTTAAATTAACTTTTATTATTTTTTCACTATTTTACCTTCATCCAGTCCATCAATCACATGTGCTTCAAAGTTGATGTTTTTTACACTATCAATAACATTTTGCTTTTCAAGCAGGAATAAGCTGGTTGGCCAAATAGTCCCTTGAGGGCTAAGACACTTGTTAATTTCCCTAAATTAATGAAATATTAACTGTTATACTTCTAACCATGTACACACACTCCATAAAGCCCCTATTTTACAAATAATAATGCAGTCAGGAGATGGTGTGATGCAATGAGTGGTTTCCACATTTTTAAACATTTAAAATGCATGAAAATATATATTTTCCATCACTTTGTTTATCACTCTTGAAATGACCTGTACACTAAGTAATCTAACCCTCATACTTGCATAACAATAGCAGTCTACTGTATTTATTTAGTGGTCCAAGTTGAAGTCAGTATGTATATTAATGACAATATGGGACAAATATAATGTAATTTAGTACATGTACAGTCAGACAAAACAACGTGCACAGTTATTAAAGGCGCGTAGTCGTGGAAAACGATGTGTTCGGCAGTTAAAGCAGCGCGTCTGTAGAGTGTGCGTCATGGGAAATTATGTGCTCAGTAATTAATTCAATTCAATTCAAGTTTATTTGTATAGCGCTTTTCACGATACAAATCGTTGCAAAGCAACTTTACAGGAAATTAAATTTCTACAATATTTAGTGGTAGCTCCTGTAGCTTGTTTATTGAAGATGCAGGACAACCACCTAGCAGTGCATTACAATAGTCCAGTCTAGAGGTCATGAATGCATGAACTAGATTTTCTGCATCAGAAACCGGTAACATGATTCGTAACTTGGCAATGTTTCTAAGATGGAAGAGTGCTGTTTTTATAACATGGAAAATATGATTTTCAAAACACAAGTTGCTATCTAATGTAACACCCAGCTTTTTGACTGTAGAGGAAGTAACAGTACATCCGTCCAGTTGAGATAAATTAAAGAGGCAGGGCGGTGTTTCTGTTATTTGGTTTGTGACATCCTTTACGGGAAACGCTGGCGCAAGGCTGCTCACAGCGCTTGGTCACACGTCCAAAAAAAAGTGGTTCTTTAAAAAAAAAAAACGGGACCGGTTCTCGGTTCCCAACCCTACATTCAAGTACCCCAAAATTTTCTCTTTAATAGATTTGGTCAGTTATTCTTACACACACAGTGAAGGGAAAAAATAAAGAGGTTGTAACATTGTGGCAGTGAGCGCAGAAATGTTACTATTGTATCTAGTTATTGCTGTTCTTCCGAGTCAAATTTCCAACAAACTCTTCCTAGCACATACAGTACACAGCTGATACAGTGTAGTTTGATTTTTTTATTTTTTAACTGTTGTAATATTTTAGTGGGCCACTTAATTTAACATGTGACTGTACAGATGGGGTAAATATGAAGTTTACAGTCTTGATTTACTGATAATAAATAATAAATAGAATAACAAAGTTCTTCAGCTAGATTTGAATATGTTGCCTGCAGTTGCTCTACACAAAATAATATTTTTAATATCACTAACAATTTTTTAAAATAAGTAATATAGTTCTAGTAATGCCTATAAATAATTTTTTACCTTTTTGTCATTGTGGCTCTGGCCTCACTACAGGAATATGTTCGGTTAGTTGGACCCTGGTGCCAGGTGAATGTGGGATCCTATCGTTTTGTTTTGGGTCATTGCTATCTGGCCAGCGGTGAGGGCCAAAAGGTAAGAACATCCAAGTATAACCAGTGGTGTGTCGTCTGTCCTGTGCAGCCTCTGGGGTCCTTCTGTAAGAAAATCTGTACATTTGTATTAACTGTAATAGTATGTCTAGTAGGGCATTTACTCCAGTTTAACCAATTCCTATTTTGATGAATACATTTGTAATATTTCATTATAGATTCTTAAATCCCAAGAATCATTATTTTACTCTATGCTTTTTCAGTTAGTGTGTGAACAAAACACTAAATATTATTTGGAGTTTGCCTCACATCCAATAAAATCACAATAAGCTTTGTGCTTTATTTTTGATATGAAGCAGAGTGGCAGCTTTCAAATTCTGTCAATATTCAAACAATAAAACAAAAAAAAATTTAACAAAAAAATTGGTGCTTTGTAATGTGGCGTGACATTGCTGTAACCGCCTCAGTTCGAGTCGCATCTCTCCCTCGTTACTACTAGTTAAAGTACAAAATAAGCATCTATGAACCTCATAAGGTATGTTGAAAGATACAGTACAACTGAACAAAATTTATTATGTCTCATATAATCAGTACGTGTTTCAAACTCAGAAAGAGATCAATAAAACAGCTTATAAACCATGTTACTGTACTGTTCTCTTTATACGTTTTGCTTTCCAAGTGTGTAATATAAATAAACAGCAACCAAACTCTGTTCAAGAGCCAGGATATGAGTGCCTTGCTCCTTTAATAGTCCAATATGTGGTTTAGATTGGCAAACTCAGCGGCCATTGAACCATTGAGTAAAACTGTAAATTAAATGAAAGAAATATGGAAAATTAACAATCAAAATTACATCAAACTTATTAACAGTGTAACAAGTAAAAGGTGTATATATATAAACATTCGTTAACTCAGAAGCAAGTTAGTAGCATTATCAATACAGTGCGCTAGCGCCGATTGGCAATGACATAAACATATTTGATTATATCACGTTTAAACTCAACATACTCTCCTGCAATATATACTAGACAGACTGATGATTCAAATAAACTTACAGCCACTGCTTTCGACAGGGTTTAGAAGGATTAACTCATGAGTCTTTGTTTTGTTTTTTTGAGAGTGCTTAAACTCTCAATAGATCGAAGTTAGTGATGATGTTCTTTGATAATGTGATAATGTTCTTTGCCCTTTTTCTGTATATAATTTCGCTGTTTGAATAACCGTGGAAATGAAAACGTTATTAGTAACTTACAATGTTTTGATTAAATTGATCACGATAAATACAAATTCAGTTCTATTAAAAATAGCCTACATCAGGGGTGCCCAAACTTTTTCTGCCCACGACCCCCAAAATAACAGTGTCAGTACCTCGGGACCCCCACTTTCCTCTGAGGTGGTTAAAGTATACAAACGTTTTGCACAATGGCGCACATGCACTTATAGCATAATGACAACACAAAGGAACATAACAGTCTAACAACAATAATATAATTTTATAGTAATTTACTCATTACTTGCATTTCAACATTAATCTTACCTAATTAGTTGGGTGGGCAACATGCTGGAGTACAAAACTCCATGTTGGAGTTTTATTTTTAATTCAACATAATTTTTTATTTATGGGTAAAATATGCTATTTCTAATCCTTTAAAAAATTATTTGATTTCTGGAAATCATCTTGCGACCCCTCCTCGTGGTTTCGCGACCCCCTGGGGGGTCCCGACCCCTACTTTGGGAACCCCTGGCCTACATGACACCCATATCTGGTACTTGCCTAAAAAGACTGGTTTTATGTTTGTAGTTAATAGATTACACCAGGGGCAGTTCTAGGATTTCATCTAAATAAACTTTACAGTGCTTGTGAAATCTGTATTACTGTATTAATTAAATATACACAAATACCCATTAAAGCTACAGAATTTAGAGCAGCGAGTGATCCTCTGTTTTTCTTTTGTTGTTTGATTAAAATTATTGACATAAGAAATGCACAGATCTGTCATATTGACGCACATATCCGAAATTTTCTTAACTGTTTAAGTTCACTTAAGATGTAACTGACTCTGTTTACGTGGATACGTGGATTGGGGGGTTGGTGGGCCCACCTAAAAAGGGTCTAGAACTGCCCCTGAATTACACTAACATTAGGCTACTTAGCCTTACCCTGAAGTTGGTTCACCCTCTGACTATTCTCTCCCAAGTGGTTCAATTGTTGTCAGCATTAAGTCTGATTCAGTGGGCTATGTTACACTTTTAATTGACAAGAAATTAATTTTCCTTAAATGTATTGATTCAATACAGTGTGTATTCACCTGTTGATCAAAAATTGCCTTTTACTTGCACCAGAAAATTATTTTGTAACTTTCATGAGGGTGTACTGATTTTATCACTTCTTATTTTCTTATTTTCCTGAATAAATTTAACATCATTCTTTGGTAATCAAACAGACTTGCTACTTGCAAACAATTTTAATCTGCCTTCCAAGTAAAGAGTACCGTATTAGCCCGAATATAAGATGACCCTGATTATAAGACGACCCCCCCTTTTTCAGATGTACCTTTTGGAAAAAGGCTTTTTAAAAACCAAATCTTGTTTTTTCTCAGTAAAACACATTTTGTCTTCAATTATTTTATTCCTATTTTAATTTTTGTTTTGAAAGTATGGTAAAAACTGGTAAAATGTACCAACAATCACATTTAAAAAATATACACTTTTTGATATACCATAAAAAAAAAAACAGGTTGCCCATCTGAATTAGGACATTTAGGCTATCCATCTAATAGTAGCCTACCAAAATCTTATTAACAGTAGAAGTTAAATCTTACTGTAGTCTTCAAATCTGGGTACTGTCTTACGTTTTAAAATCACAAAGGGAGTTTTGTCCCATCAGGCTAACGTGACAGTCACGACTCATGCAGCTGTAAGGTTTTCTGCTTCTTTTGTTTTTACTCGCGATCTTTACAACACGCATTACATTACGTATTTCATGGCACACTCGTTTTATGTGTATTTGGCGCCACCTATTGTTGTGGGTGTATTATTGACATGTCAAAGTCTAGACCCTGAATATAAGACGACCGCGTTTTTTCAGATGCATTTCCAAGAAAAAAATATCGTCTTATATTCGGGACAATACGGTAATTGCTGAATTTAAGTTTCAGAGGGGGTGTACTCATTTATGCTGAGTACTGTAAATAGGAAATTTATTTTCTTAATTTGTCTTGTGAATCATCAAAATTGGTTCGTGAAATTTGTGAGACCAGGCAAAAAAAAGGGGGGAATGAAAATTGTTTCTCTTAGTGGCTATATTCTTGACTCTCCTGGTTAGCTATTTTATTTTTACTTGTACTTGCAGGTAATCCCTGCAAGTACAACTGCTATCTGCTAGAATGGAGAAAGACCTTTTTTTTCTTTTAAATTAAGTTCAATAACATTCTGAATAAAGGCATCAGTGTTAAATTGTACTTCTGAAACTGAAATCATGCTAAAGAAATAGTAGTTTTTTGGCTGGTTCAGCACTTGTTCATTCATTCCAGAATGAGCAAAAAGGCCATTTGGCTCTTTAAACTGTAAGGCAGGACTACAGGCACCATATGTGATTTTTTTATTATTATTATTATTATTTTTTTTTTCGTATTTATATATGTGCATTGCAGAAAAAAAAAAAGAATTGTTCACAAAATTGTTCCAGAAGCAGAAAAGTGCTATCGAATTGTGCCTATTTGCAAATTTTGTTTGCGATGTGTGTTTTAGGCATTGCAGTGTTTCCAGGAAGCAGCAGCTGAGGTGGATAAAGAAGAGTTTTTAATGAAACTCACAGGTTCAGTCGAAGAGGCAGCCACCACAACTGCCCCACGATTACTTTATTACAACAAGGTATGTGTCTGCTAGATGCACAGACCATGTTAAAATGATGGTTCAGCATCTTAATGGGGATGTAATGATTCTAATTGTTTATTTGTTTAGGTTTTGAGGTTATTGGAGGACATTGGTTTGCCAGAGCTTGTGATTCATTTGGCAACGCTGGCCATATCTGAAGCTGCCAATGATGAGAGAATCCAGGTAATAGCATTGTTTGTTTGTTTTTGTTTTTTTTCAGAAAGATTAATTCATTACCATAATTAAATTGTGTAATCCTGTCATGGTTTTTGCTTTTTTGTCTGATGGAATGTTTGGATTAACCCTAAAATGCATAGCTACCTTTTCCCCTCTGAATGTAAATGTGGGTATAAAAAATTATAAAATTAGATGCGTATTCTTTCTAACACATTTTGTCAATAAAAATAAGTTTTAATGGTGATTTAGTTATGTAAATCGCTGTTAAACGCCATTAAAGAAGAAGAAATAAATGAAACCGCACAGAAATTCTCAACAACAGTGACCAGGAAAACAGGACAAATTTTTTTGCCATGCATGGACTAATTAGAAGGATTTTCCTCCTTCAGTCATCACCTTTATATGCTATACACATACCCTAATAACAGTAACTGTATTAACCATTGTAGTTTGGCAGAAATGTGGAATATTTATACAATTTTCATGTTTTTTGTCATAGATTGAATTAATTCCAAAAATCCAGATGCCAAAAACATCTTATCTGTCAGGTTAAAAGAATAATATCTCCGTGATTAGATTGCTGTATAATATAACAAACATTTTAGCTATCTATATATTGTGGTATATCTCAAACATAATTTTGAGAATATCTCTATTTATTATTAATAAGAAACTGACACTTGTATTGCAGGCTGCTCTGTGGACTCGTATATTTAAGCATCATCTGGATCTTGGACACAACAGTCAGGCATATGAGGCCCTGACGCAAAACCCTGATTCTAGCAGGTACTGTGCACTGACATCATTTTCTTAAGGTGATGATACACGGGGCAACTTTTTGAGCAATGCTGCTGGGCAATGTTGCCGTCAACGGGCAACCAGGTGAGAGACAGGGCCCACGACTGATCTAAAGTATCCAGATAAAAATTTGTTGCCCATTCTCAATGGGAAAGTGCCCAAGCAACATTGTTCAAAAAAGTTGCCCCATGTATTATCACCTTTAGCTACAGTTTAAAATGAAATACTTGAGCTCTCTGTGTTGTCTGTGTCTGCAGGCAGCTGGACTGTCTCCGACAGCTGGTGGTGGTTCTGTGCGAGCGTGCCCAACTCAGGGATCTCGTCCAGTTCTCATTTGTTAATTTACATGATGAGGTATGTCAGAATAGTCACTCATACATGTACCTTACAGGTATTTAGCGATAGATGCTATTAATACTAAGTGAAAATAGCATATTTTCTTAGCTCTAGGCAGGGCTTGAAAATGAAAAAAAAAAATCCAGTCGGTTCACTCAGAGCAGAATCGATATTTTAACGTTTCTGTTCCTGCGTTCCTCTGTATTATTACCGTTCCGAAACTGGTTTGCCTAGAAAAAATGCCGGTTAATAACGTTATTTTTCAAACTTTTTCTTTGCCTATAATAATAATAGCCTAATAATAATAATAAAGTACAGCGTTTTCTACTCAAAAAAGAAAAAAAACAAAAACAGGAAGAGATCTGGTAGCCTTATCTTAACCCGCTGCGCTTAGTCACAGCCAATACAGCATCATATTTTCTAGATTTTGGCCAAATTATAGGCTACCAAACAAAAGAAAAAAATCTGTTAACGCTTTAAAGACATTAAAGTACTTTTAAGATATTTTAAAATGTTTGCTGCATTGTTAAAAAAAATGCTACTCGTATAAAATTGCATTTTGAGAGGGGAAAAAAACAGGCCATGTCGCGTAGGCTCACGTCGCATTTTATTATTAGGCTATATTCAGAAATAATGTGCTAAAATGCCGGTAAAACATTTTAAACACCATATATATATATATATATATATATATATATATACACACATTACCGCTCAAAAGTTTGGGATCAGTAAGACTTGTAATGTTTTTTAAAGAAGTCTCTTATAATAAAAATAAAAAATTCAATCGGTTCACTCAGAGCAGAATCGATATTTTAACGTTTCTGTTCCTGCGTTCCTCTGTATTATTACCGTTCCGAAACTGGTTTGCCTAGAAAAAATACCGGTTAATAACGTTATTTTTCAAACTTTTTCTTTGCCTATAATAATAATAGCCTAATAATAATAATAAAGTACAGCGTTTTCTACTCAAAAAAGAAAAAAAACAAAAACAGGAAGAGATCTGGTAGCCTTATCTTAACCCGCTGCGCTTAGTCACAGCCAATACAGCATCATATTTTCTAGATTTTGGCCAAATTATAGGCTACCAAACAAAAGAAAAAAATCTGTTAACGCTTTAAAGACATTAAAGTACTTTTAAGATATTTTAAAATGTTTGCTGCATTGTTAAAAAAAATGCTACTCGTATAAAATTGCATTTTGAGAGGGGAAAAAAACAGGCCATGTCGCGTAGGCTCACGTCGCATTTTATTATTAGGCTATATTCAGAAATAATGTGCTAAAATGCCGGTAAAACATTTTAAACACCATATATATATATATATATATATATATATACGTATACATAGACTATTATTAGTTTCTCTCCACAACAAATCCTCTAAAGTTAACGCTATGCGTGTAGGCTATAAAAACTTCAATCCGAAAACAAATGAATTTAAGGTGAAACTGACGCCTGCCTCGATTGGTACGAATCCAGATGTTTCCATATTCGCGACGTATCTGGATGCTAAAATATTATTTATTATGTAAAAGGCTTTGTACTTCACTCACATCGACATCATCCTTCACGTCGGCTATATCAGCACAGTGAGGCGGTGGTCATGCTGAACGCAACAGATTATACAACGGAGCAGTGCAACTTTTTATGTTTCTTTAACTGTATTTTATTTTGATAATGAACAGGCTGCAATGTCGCAAAATATGTTGTGTCGTTGTGCGCGTGAGGCGTCGGCGCGATATGGTCATACCAACGCTGGTTGGTTATACAAATAGAAGCAAAACATCATTCAAAACTGTTAAGATTTGCAAAATAAATAAAACTGTAAAGCTTTTGCAAAATAAAGAAAACTATTTTCTGCCGTCTCATTTTCCTTTCCGTGAACTTTGGATCGCATCACAATAAACCGAAGCTCAGCACATTTTTTTTTCTTTCGTTTTGTTAATCTGTCAATGATTTAAGTGAAATACGTTTTGTGTATAGGCAAATATAGGCTATTCCTTTTTATGTAAGCCTATAGTTTTATTCTGCTTTCTCCGTACACAAGCGCTGCAGGTGCGCATGATATGTTGAATCCATCTTACACTGTCCACAGTTTAATCAGGAGGGTATCTGGGATGATGGTGTTAAAACTGAAGTCCACAAACAGGATCCTTGCATAAGTCCCTGGTTTGTCCAGATGTTGAAGGATGTAATGCAGTCCCATGTTGACTGCATCATCCACAGAACTGTTTGATCGGTAAGCAAACTGCAAGGGGTCCTCTGCCGGGCAGGCAGCCTTCATTCAATGGCAGTCCTCCAGGTCTTTCAGGCCAAACTCCTCCGCTGCATGGACGAGTCTGGACCAAAAAAATCCACCGCTTTCAAAGAGCTGCACAGCGCGACCGACCTGGCTCTACGCGCCACAAAGACCACGGCTCAGGTGATCGGCAGGTTGATGGCCAGCTTAGTGGTGCTCGAGCACCACTTCTGGTTGACCCTGACGGAGATCAAGGATGCGGATAAGGTCCCTTTCTTTGACTCCCAGGTCTCCCCCACTGGCCTGTTTGGACCTGCTGTTGAAGGCTTCGCTGAACGCTTCACTACTGCACAGAAGTCGTCCCAGGCAATGCGGCACTTCCTGCCCAAGCATTCCAGCTCTGCAGCTGCTCCTGGTTGCCCCAAGTCTGCGCTTACTCAGCAGCCCGCGAATCCTGCGCACTCTGCACCCAAGCCTGAGCCCCGACAGCGCTTCCACTCGGCAAAGCGCTACCCATTTCCTAAGTGAAATGTGCCTCAGGCGTCATCTTGATTTAAAGTACAGGAAGAGAAAGGGGCAAAGTCTCGCTGCAGCCGGACCACCCCTCAAGCAGCCTCGAGTATTCCTCCAAGCACCCCGTTCAGTATCGAGTGCAGAGGTCAATGTGTCTGTTGTAAACATGGGGCCCACTCTTGTGCCAATACAACAAGCCGCTGTGATAGCGGGCAAAATAAAACACAAACATACTCAAAAAGAGAGTAAAATTCCTCTTCCATGTATCACGAGAACCAAGTCCCCGCACGGCGACTTGACACTTGAGTCAATCCAACCCCTTGCCACACAGGCCAAGGCCTGGCAGGCCATCCCCGGAGTGTCAGATTGGGTTTTGGGGATAATAAGATGCCGAGGTGATGAATTTGCTGGCAAAAGGAGCCGTGGAGACGGTTCCCCCAGCTCAGAGCGAGTCAGGCTTCTACAGCTGTTACTTCCTGGTCCCAAAAAAGGATGGCGGCCTACGGCCCATCCTCGACCTCAGGCACCTGAACCTCTTGAGACAGATGGGAATTCGCATTCTGAATTACCTCGACGACTGGCTGGTCTTAGCCCAGTCGGAGGCCGAGCTTCTATCCCACAAATCCCTCCTCCTCAGCCACTTGGAATGCCTGGGACTCAGGGTTAACTTTGCCAGAAGCTCACTGTCCCCCAGCCAACGGATCTCCTTCCTGGGAGCAGTTTTCGACTCGACCCAAATGAGGGTGGTTGTCGCGCCAGAACGTGCTCTGGCCATACAGCAGCTTATGGCCTCATTCAAAATTGGAGCCTCCCGCCCTCTCAGGTTGGTTCAGAAGATGCTGGGCCTCATGGCCTCCACATCTCCGGTGCTACAGTTGGGCCTGCTTCGCATGAGGCCACTGCAGTATTGGCTGAAATCAAGCTTGACGTCACGGACGCCTTTGTATCAAGGTAGACCAGGCCTGCATGGCAGCTCTGGCCCCTTGGAAGAGCCCCCAGTGGCTGGAAAAGGGCATGACTCGGCATGGTCTGCAGAAGGAAGGTTGTCTCAACAGATGCGTCCAGCACAGGTTGGTGAGCTCTGTGCGAGGGCAAACTGGCTTCCGGCTCCTGGTCAAAGGAGGAAAGCCGGTCGCATATCAACTGCCTGGAAATGCTGGCAGTGTGTCAAGCCCTCTGGACCTTCCTGCCAGACCTGAAAGGATACCTGTCCTACATAAATCTCCAGGGCGGGCTTACTTCAAGGCGTCTCTTCTTCCTAGCAGAGCACATCTTGGAATGGGCACACCTCAACTTGCGTTCACTGAGAGCAACGCATGTTCCGGGCATACTGAACCAGGGAGCAGACATGCTGTCTCGGAGCAATGCTCCATCTGCAAACAGTTCAGAAAATTTGGGAGATTTTTGGGCAGCAGAGGTCAGTCTTTTTGCCTCAAAAGACAACTTTCACTGCTTAACTTACTTTTCGAAAAACAGGGATGCGTTGGCCTACGCTTGTCTCAATCTCCTCCTGTACGCTTTCGCTTAAATGGTCGGTCTTCTCCGCCTGGTGCGTCACCCGCAGCAAAGACCCAACCTCCTGCGACATACCAGTGATATTGTCCTCCTTCCAAGAGTTGCTGGAAAAGGGACGTTCCCCTTCCACACTCAAGGCCGGGGCTGACCTCGATGAGTTTGGCCCTCTTGCCTCCTGCAGAGTTTGCCCTGCTGAATACTTGGACCCTCTAAGCCCCCTTGGGTGCTTAAGGCGAGTTAATATTGGTCGTTCTTCTAGCATAGCACGGCTGGATTGTACTGGTTCCCCATAGCGTCTTAGCGACGCAGTATGAGTGAAGGGGAAAATGAGTACTGCATAACTAGCCATGCTATGTAGCTGCACAACTCAGTGTCGTCGTTTCAGTCAAAGTTACCTGAGGATCCCATGGCGAAATGCCTGTTTATATAGCCAGATGACCCTGCCCATTGTGGCAGGCTCTGGCGGGCTTCGTTGCCATAGGCTCGTGCAGCTCCACTGCCAAACCATTGGTTCGTTTTTAAATACACTGCACAAACCAATGGCCGTGCAGTTACACTGCATTATTGAAAAAAAGGCTTCAGTTATCGGAGAAAAATTACTTTTCCCCATAGCGATGCAGTACTCGTTCCTGTATCTCAGGGAACCGAGGTTACGTTAGTAACCGAGTACATTCCAGTTTACCTAATTAATGCAGCCTAACAATCCTTTAACTGATTTGAATTATAGAAATGTGATAGTGTGTTATGTGTAAGCCAGGTTATAGAGATGGGAAGGACTATAATGCGATAAGAGCTCGCTGAAGTACTGAAGGAGCTAAACTTTAAAATTAACAAGATTTTAAAATGTGTACGATGTTAAATAGGGAGCCAGTGCAGAGTTGACAGAACCAGGCTAATATGTCATACTTTCTGGTTCTAGTACGAACTCAGCTGGAGTTGGTTTAAGTGTGCAGAGCAACCACCCAATAAAGCATTACAATAATCTAACCTTGAGGTCATGAACACATGAATTAACGTTTCTGCATTTGACATTGAGAGCATAGGTCGTAATTTAGATATATTTTTAAGATGGAAAAATGCAGTTTTACAAATGCTAGAAACGTGGCTTTTAAATGATAGATTGCTATCAAATAGCACACCTAGGTTCCTAACTGATAATGAAGAATTGATAGAGCAGCCATCAAGTGTTTAGACAGTGTTCTTGGTTATTACATGCGGAGGTTTTTGGTCCGATATTAACACCTGTTTTTTTTTTTTTTCAGAATTTAGCAGTAGGAAATTACTAGTTGTCCAGTTTTTTTATATCAACTATGCATTCCGTTAGTTTTGCAAATCGGTATGCTTCGTCGGGCCGCGACGAAATATAGAACTGAGTATCATTAGCATAACAGTGAAATTTAACACCATGTTTCCTGATGATATCTCCCAAGGGTAACATGTAAAGCGTGAAAAGCAACGGTCCAAGTACTAAACCTTGTGGTACTCCATACTGCATTTGTGATCAATATGATACCTCACCATTCACTGCTAGAAATTGATGACGGTCAGATAAGTATGATTTGAACCATGCCAATGCAATTCCACTAATGGCAACATAATTTTCTAGGCCACTGAAAAGAATGTTGTGGTCAATAGTGTCGAACGCAGCGCTAAGATCCAGTAGCACTAATAGGGAAATGCAACCATGATCAGATGATAAGAGCAGGTCATTTGAAACTATGATGAGAGCAGTCTCAGTACTATGATACAGTCTAAATCCTGACTGGAAATTCTCACAGATACAATTTTTCTCTAAGAAATATAGTTGTGAGGATACTGCCTTTGAGATCGGTCTGTAAACTAACTCTCTGTAAATAGTAGATGCTGCTTTGAAAAATGCAACTTTCAATATGGCCGCTTTATTGAAGGATGCCCCATTTTCTGAATAAAAGAGCCAATCGCTAATCGGTAAGGTCAGTGCATCACTGCAGCTGCCATTAGAGGTCCCGGTTGCTATAAAAACAGTCAGCGTTCTGAGACGTGCGCTTAGGACTGCGTATGCGCACTGGCTGGTCTAGCCTGAAAAATAATCTTTTTTTAAAGCAAAAGAAACAACATTTATGAGACAGTTGTTGTCAGATTTCATTGGTGATTTCAAATGTGAAATTTAATTGTAAGCTTAGTGAACCGTTTTGGAGAATTTGATGTTTCCCCATTCAAAGAGATAGGAGCTGCACCTGCATGCCCAAGAGGCGTTTCAAAGATGGCCGCCTAGTGAAATGACTTGCCTTAAAGGGACTTTTATACTTAGTGCAAAAAATTGATTTCAAACTCGGGTCCATTGCGTCAAAAGATGCTACTATGCGCTTTACGCCCTACACCACTGAGCCTTTTGTACTACGCGCATCTTTTGTAATGTTGTCTACGCCAACCAGACATTGGTGGGCGGAGCTAGTGTAAATAGCACCTATTTAGTGTAAATAGACACTCTGATTTATTATTCTTTCAGCCCTGTCAAGTAAGTTGTTAAAACATACTTTTATGGATTTAATCTCATTTAATTTACCAAAGTCTTTGCCTTTGACCTTTGATGTAAACATTAAAATAACCGTAAATTACATCAATTTTTTTTTCTTTTTATTCTTGAAATGATTGTTAAACTTTCTTCTCCTGTGTCCTGTTCTTCTGCTATATCCAGAATGGCAGAGCGTACATTTGCGTTTCCTTTTTTCATTTTCTTTAATAATATATTGTACCCTATACTCTTGTTATATTCCGTTGGAATCAAATTGTCACAGCTGTGAGGTAGTTCCTAAACGTGCTGTTGAGAGAGTGACTGTAAATTTAATATTGATTATTATGTAAATTTGGTAAATTGATAATTATTAGCTTCCCCCAGCTGCCACTGCTTAAACGTGCTTGAATTCTACTTCTTGAATTTATACTGCACTTTTCACAAGGCATTCTTACAGTTTCGACAAAATTTATAGCCAGCTACATAACTTTACCTTTATGACATATTTAAATTCTGCAAATTCACAATAACTTTCAGTTTAAGTTTACAATAGGGCTGCACGATAAATCGCATGCGATATTTAACGCGCATCTTGTCAGAAATCCAGTTCTGTAATCAGCGGTAAATCTCCATCACCTGCGTGCTTTCACATTGAGCAGCATTAACTACACAGAGCCGTTGTTGACTGACGAGCTGTGCAAAAAATCGCGCGAATATGAACGTGGTTTTGCGCAGCTCCTCAGTGAACAACGGCTCTGTGTAGTTAATGCTGCTCAATGTGAAAGCCCGCACGTGATGGAGATTTACCGCTGATTACAGAACCGGCTTTACTGATAAGATACGCGTTAAATATCGCATGCGATTTATCATGCAGCCCTAGTTTACAAGTAAAAAAAAGGATACATCCTTATCAAATATCTCCAGAACGTCACTGTCCCTAGGCCATTCTTATTGTCGAGCCCTGTCTTCAATTCTTACTTGTATTTTTAGCAAGCTTATTGTGTTGTTTTGTGCTTTGTGTTCTTCAGGTGGTCAGCATTATTGAGTCTCGTGCGAGAGCTGTGGACCTCATGACTCACAACTACTATGAGCTTCTGTATGCTTTTCATATCAATCGTCACAACTATAGGAAAGGTAAAACTGATGGTCAGCGTTACAGTGACGTTTCAAGTTTTGTGGGGGAAAGGATTAAATATTAAGTAAAAATAAATCCTCCTGCAGCTTTATTTATTATTGTTTTATTGTTCAAATGAGCAATAAAAGTAATTGTTTTATTCAGGCAGGATTTGGCCATTAAGCCAACAGTAAATTGTTTGTGTGCTTAAGCCGGTACAGTGATGTTTGAGTACGGTATGCGTCTGGGCCGTGAGGTGCGAACTCTGCGTGGTCTCCAGAAGCAGGTGAACTGTTATCTAGCTGCCCTCAGCTGCCTGCGTCTCGTTCATCCGGACTACGCATGGATTGTGCAGCCCTCGTCTGGAGCAGCGGTAAGCATCTGAAACATTTGTACCGTATTGGCCCGAATATAAGACGACCCTGATTATAAGACGACCCCCCTTTTTCCAGATGTATTGGATGGAGTGCTCAGTCAGCAGCACAATATTAGGGGTGTAACAGTACATGTATTTGTCCCGAACCGTCACAGTACTAATGTCATGGTTCGGTTCATGCAGTCAGACGACAAATACAGTCAGTCATAGGCGATCAATCCATAAGGGGGGCGCGCATGGTAATGCACCGCTAACGGTCACAACAGGAAAGAGCAGAAGAGACAATCTATGCACCAACCCAAAGCAAGAACGGTGAGTTCAGATGGCGTACAAGGGCTCGAAGAACCGCCTGCTTGTTTTAAATCAGCAGTGTGGGAAAGTTTCAGGTTCTAGAGATGCACTGGTTGACCAGCTATAAATCGGAACCAGTTGTTAGTTTGGTAACACTTTCTATGAAGACCGTATTTATAATACAATATAGATTTTTCGATACATATTGATACTCACTTCATAACATCAGTCAAGTGTTTGAAACAACTTTTGTCATCTGATGTGGCTTCTTATAAAATGAGGCAGAAAATATATTGGTAACACTTTCTATGAAGCCCGTATTTTTATTTTATTTATAATGCATTATAAAAAACCTTATAATATGTTGTATCATCTCATGAATATTCATAAGAACAGTTTTAATATATTATAACATTTACTTATTTGTGGTTATAGCTTTTAAGAGTATGATGATTTATAACACAATGAGAAATATAATCAATTGTAAAAGTGGATGCAACGTGTTCATAGTTATAATGTATTATAAGTCTCATATCTTGCCATTTTTCTTATGCTACTTTACTTAAAGCGGTCAAAGACCACTTGTAAGTAGTAATAATAATAATAATAATAATAATAAAAAAAATTCTCTCAAACAGCCATAAGATCAGATATCAGATCAGATGAATGTGTAATATGACACATTTGCTTTGAACTATTTTTATTGTAATATCAGTTGGATTATTTTGATGGTACCCTTTAAACAGCTGTTGATAAGTGACTCTGCAACTACATATCAACTAGCGGTCATTAGAGTATTAGTATGTCTGCTACTGTAAATATTTGCTAACACTTTATTTTGATGGTCAACCAGCAGATAAACTGACTATAAGTGTCTTTGCAAGTACGTCAATTTTCTCTACCATACTAGATTCTACCATTCTTGAGCATACTAATACTCTAATGAGAGTTAGTTGGCATGTAGTTGCAAAGTTGCTTATAGTCGATTGATTAAGGGGACCATCAAAATAAAATGTAACCATATAAAACATTGCATTTTTTTCAGTTGGAGTATAAAGCTCACATCAATTAACATTAGCTCCACAGGAAACACTCAAATAACACTCAACATCTAACCACTCACAAGCTGTAGATACTGTGCAGATCTTAAATAAACAATGTCAAGATATGATACAGTCCATTATTCTGTAAATGAAGTAGATTTAATATGGTGTTCATTGTGTGTTATAAATAATCATACTCTTAAACTTATAACCACAAATACGTAAGTATTATGATGTATTATAACTGTTGTTATGAATAATCATGAGTTGATATAACATATTATAAGGTTTTTTGCAGAAGAAGAGATGATCTAGGCACCAACCCAAAACAAGAATGGTGAGTTTAGATCGCACACAAGGGCTCGAAGAACCGCCCGCTTGTTTTGAGTCCGCAGTGTGGGAATGTTTTAGGTTCTAGAAATGCTGCATTGCAATCATTTCCCAAAAAAAATGTAATGTGGAATTTTTATGAAGTCTGAAAGAGGAGAAAATACTGTACCAGGCAGATCAAACTCCCTGTTCGCGATGTTCAAAATATATTATAAGAGAAATATGTGGGGGTTTATATAGATCTCTGAGAGGAACTGACCGTCTTCAGAAATGTTTCGATGGCAT